GTCGGAGGCATGTATACGATCATCGTATATTCATATGTTCATGCCTGAACACTAGATAACTGTATTATTATACATATCTAATGAAATTTACTCTAGTTCTTCAATAGAATTGAGCCTACTTTGTCATATATATACTTCTGTAATACAGGGTATATTATAGTCTGTAAGCTAATAATGCGTTGCACCTCTCTCGTATTAAATTTGATTGTTTTTTGTGTTTCTATGCGCACCTGAATAGTGAAAGGAGAGTATATGGGGTTTCGAAAAAAAAAACAGAAATTTCGAATGCAATTCTTACCAGAGCTGTACGGCTTGATAAACCACTTAATAAGTATATATATAATTCCATTATTTCTATATTCAAATATACTCGAGTAAGCGAGTATGCTGCAGTCAGCTATGCCCGAGTGCAATGCTTTTGGTTTTTTTTTTGCTTCTCAGTTGAATTTTGTGGAATTTAGAGCTCTAGCACAATTTCTAATTTATATTTATCTATTGTTTCTTTGCAGCTTAACATAAATAGAAAATCTAATAAATTAAAAAAGCGAAAACAACAACAGGAGAAATTAACAAATAGCAAATCCAATATGCTTAGAATAAACTAAAGCGGAAAAAAAGTTGAACTGAATAATTGAACTAACTAAGGGAAACCGAGCAGAATGTGATCTAAGTAAAAGAAGAAGAGAAAAGTGTGTGCATTGAATATCGCTAAGACGTTGTCCAGCACTAGATGACATGTGCGGTGTGCCAGTGTTGCCAAACTCAAATAGAAAACCATAAGCAAGCCATTCAAACTCAATAACAAGAAATCAGTGGATCGATCAATCGATAGGCCGATAAACTCAAACCAAATATAGCAAACGCATTGAGCATATCGATGTGCATATATGTATTGCTGTAGCTATAGCCAAATACACAGACATAGACTTTAACGACAACTGTATATATCATGACCAAAAAGTACGAGTTCGATTGGATAATTCCGGTGCCGCCGGAACTAACAACTGGCGCGGTCTTCGATCGCTGGTTCGAGAACGAGAAGGAGACCAAAGAGAATGACTTTGAGCGCGATGCGCTCTTCAAAGTCGACGAGTATGGTTTCTTTCTCTACTGGAAGAGCGAGGGACGGGTATGTATACCAGCCGATAGGTCAATAATTTTATTCTAATATCGATTCAATTGCAATCTTTCGATAGGATGGCGATGTCATTGAGCTGTGTCAAGTGAGCGACATTCGAGCTGGCGGCACTCCAAAGGTAAGCAAATTTGTTAATATTTGGGAAGAAGAATAGTTTCTATAGGTGTTAGTTAACATAAACCTAAAAAAAATTGAGACTTTTAGAATGATTTAAGATTCAGAGGAACAAAACGAAATTTTGAATGAAGCTAGGCATCAATTTTATGAGGAATATTTACAGTAGCAGCACTACTGTTACTGTTACTGTTACTGTTACTGTTACTGTTACTGTTACTGTTACTGT